TTCATTCAGAGAGATCACGACACAGCACATAAGGGGGCCATTGTTTCTGGAATAAAATCTCCATTTCAGCTTTCTTCTTTGGCCATGATCAATGGGAGGGAATTCAAGTCTCATCCTGGGGAAAAAAAACCATCTTGCTAACACTGTGTTGAAAGATCAGGTAATGGAGATGCAGAGCAAGTGTGGGCACCCCCATAATCCTTTGGTGAGCTCGAGAATGCTGGAGGTAAAAGCTTCTGGTGACAAAAGTTCCCCAAACACAGGCACATCCCTTATCATACCCTATGAGAGACAGCCAAGTCAAAGGTTAGGAGTCCTAACAGGAGTAGTTGGTATTTCGCAGTCCTTTGATCAAGATTTCAGCTCCCCACAGCTCCTCCTGGTGCAGGGGCATTTAAATTCCATGGGTGCTTACACAGCTGCCTGTTCAGCCTCTGCATTTTCTGTCTCACAGATGCACAGAGCCAACCCCAATAATTTTGAGCCCTCTGTCCTACATGGCCCTGGGATATTCTGAGAGCACTTACCTCCCACCCATCCTCCAGGCACCTTCTCATCTCCAACAGGCATGTCAGTGAAAATTCACTGCTCTCACCACTCAGTCGCAACGGCAAGGACTTTTCTACCACCTGCCAAAAGATGGATTTCCATCCTCCAAAGCTTATCAGAGTAAACATCCACAGAGAACAACTCTATTTCTATATCATGGCCACACCATCATAATGACAACCTCCTCCCCTACCTCTGTTTCAGTCTGATGCTTTGAAACAACAAGGAGCTTTTTGCCTAGTAGTTACTGGTTCAAGAAGCAATGTCTGCTGCTTGGGCAACTAAGTCTAGAGTATCCCTGTCACCCTCTGGGCAGACACACATCACACTTGCCTTCACCCTCTCCCAGGCCCAAATCTCATGTGTATTTTACTAGTCAAAGCAAACATGAGTTTAAAAGTGATTTGCTGCCCTCTCCCGAGCACGCCGCAGTGATTGTCAGTACTGTAGTGGCTGTGAAGACAGACTTTCCTTCAGTGAGCACAGCTGCTCCCATGCAAAAGGAATGGCACTGATGTGGTAGCAAACAGCTGTGACAGGGCAGGTTAGAAGTGATCATCAGCTGTGACAGACCAGGAGGGCAGGTCAGCTACACAGCCTGAACCATTCGGTATCCACAGAGGGCATTCCTGGCATTTTTGTTTTGTAGCTCTCAGGTTAATTTTCCTCTGTGGAAATACCTCCCAGCATATTCTGTTCTCAAAAGTCACAAATATTTCAGAGAAGAAGCAAACCATGAGATATATAAAGAAATAGGAAAAAAAAATTACTTGTAGATTTAATTTGTAGGGTAATTTGAGGAGTTTTTTTTTTTTTTAACTAAACCCACTTAAATCTTTTATGTCCTCCAGTAGTGCTCTATCCTGTCTTTCCAAGATGTAACTTTACCTAGACATACAATAAGTACACACACACACACTTCTTTCTTCAGAACAAACCTTAACACTGCAACCTGCTGCTTTCAATGCACTTCCCCAAGATAACTAATTTTTTGCAAAATCCTGTTAGATTAAATTGTGCTCCCCATTAAGGTCCTCCAAAATAAGGCAAATGAACCTGAGGCAGCCTTGGTTTTCATATGCAAATATATATAGATAAAAAAACATAAAAGCTACTTCTAAATATTTATAAAATACTTATTTTCCCATGTACCCTAGGACAGATAAGATGTCTGTCCCATGATGTGGAATCAACACTGTTTTCTTGGCACTCTCTGGGATGCCCTTCATGCTTCAATCCTGAAGGGAAATGAGGGGTTTAGAGAAGGCCAGGTAGCCTCATATTCATGACCAAGAAAAATGCCTTTTATGACTTGTAAACAATGCAACAAATCCCAGATCAGGCTGCCACTACGGCATCCATGGAAAGTTCTCACTTGGGCACACGCACAGCACACAGCTCTGGCAATATGAGAGGGATGTGCCACACTTCTCCAGCTCTTTCCTCCATACTGTCTCCAAGTACTGCCTAATCTCCAAGTGCTGCATGGAATTGGCCTGTCCCAGTCCTGCTTGGTGATAATGAGTTGTTGCCTGTGTGTACAGATGTGATATTTTCATCACACGCCTGAGAGTGCAGAACCCATGAGAGTGTAAGTAGTAGAACAGGGGCAGGTTCCCAAGGGTAACATGGACCCAGGCAATCTGTAAACAAAGGCCTGCAGCAATCTTGAAGCAAGACAGAACCACTACCACCATATGGTACACGGATTGCAGGATTATGGGTTAAAATTCTCTAGGCTCCAAAATCAGCTTGCTATGCTTTCAAGTCTTCTTTTCCTCTGCAAAACATGCAGAGAAGTCACCTTGAAGATAACTGAAAAGAAAGGCATTTGGAAGAAGAAAAAAGCAGTGTGCCTTCCCCAATGTCATCTACCAACCATCTGGTTCTCCACTTAGGAAGTGCTGACCTGCTTTTTAGACACCTCAGGTTTGGAGCTCTGCATCATGGAGACTGCAAATACCTTGGTCTGGTCTCCCAGGCATCTTTAACCTGGTAACTTTCAGAGAAAGGAGCTTCTTTGAAGCATCTGAACCTTTGGCAAAGCAGTAGATTGTTCAGCAAGCCTGGCAGCCCAACCTTGCATGCCATGGGTTTGTATTGGCCTTGATACTAGAAAATTATTTGCAGAGCAGCTTAATAGCTTGTGTTTATGTTTGCCATATTTCACTGCTACTTCCCTTCAAAGCATCTGTGCCTTCTTGGACAGTGTCTCCCTTCAGAACGAAAGCCAGTTCTCTTTTCAGTGACATCCCAGCAGATCCTCCACTGGGTAGGAGAACAAGAAAGCATCTGTGACATGCAGATTCCTGAGCCAGGAGAAGGCAAGATATGCAGGCTCTAGATTTATGGATTAGACATGCTGCCATGGCACACAAATCACTCTGCACTCAGTGCAATTCATTATCACAGTGCCATGGTTGGTCACACAGCTGCAAATAATGCCAAAAAGGCTTTTAAACTTCCATGTGCCAAGACTTAATGATGCAGAGTCAGGAGCCCTCCTGCCTGCTCAGGAAAGCAAAACTGAAGTCAGCAGTTGTTCTCTCTGGATACACTGAACCCTGAAGGTTTTCCAGCAGCCCATGGCAGTGTTAACAGACTAAGCAGTCACAGGGCTGGGATTGTGCCTGCTCCCAGTCCAGCCTCTCCCGGCAATTGAACCTGTGCCTGCCAGTACTGCCCCTCCTGGCAATTGAACCTGTGCCTGCCAGTACTGCCCACATGCACCAGCAACATCCTCTAACCCAGGTAAATTCAGCTAAAAATCTGCAGGCAAACCTGGGGATTCATTCTGTCACACCAGTACACTCTGCAAAGTCTTGGGCAAGCAAATGGTCTTCCACATCTCTTGCATATATTAGTGAAGGAAAAGGACTTCAACCATAGGCATAAAATATTAAAATAGCAGTATAATTGACCAATAGGAATGAGAAGGAATGGGTGACAGGATGACAGTGGCTTGTGCTACTTCCTTACACAACTGCATCTTGATTCTGGAGAAAGGACAATGAGGAGCAGCAAATCAGAAAAAGGGCTTACTATTCCTGTGGGAAATTAGTTCCTCAGGGATAAAAAATAACATAAAAAATACAACAGTACTTAAAAATCAGATTTGAGAGCACTGGGGGCCTCATGGAGCACCAATTTGGACCTCTCCACAGAGGAGGCTCCTTGGTGGACCTGTGGCCTTCCTTGGAAGTCATGGTCATGGTGATATTGCAGGGGATACAGGTGCTAGAGGTGCATTGGGTAAAGTCCTGCACAGTGTAATCACCAGAAGAAAAAAAAGATATCTGAGTTGGACCCCATTTCCTTGGGTGCCTTACTGCCACATCCAGTCAGGCCAATGCCACAGGGGTTAGTGCTGGAGGGACACGGGACACAGCAAGGAAATGGCAGGAGGAGACCCCCAAGGCAGAGCCCCATGTCACTCACCTCAGCAGGCTGGCACACACAGTGTGGGGAACGTCCTTCTCAGCCATCGTCCCCACGCGCGCTGCCCGTGAGGGGACCCACAGGCCTCCATCTTCCCGCCTCAGCTCCATCGGCACCGCCGCCCCGAGCACCTGTGGCTTTTCACTGCGACACCTGCTGCGTTTGGGGCTAGCGCGGCTCCCTGGGCTGAGCTGAGCCGAGATGAAGCTGCCTGAGGCAGAGGAGCCCCAGGACTCCCTTCTTCCCCTCAGGCAGCCCCGGAATGCCCGGACCGGCTCCTTCAGCTCCTTCCCCCATCACGGGTCCCTCAGCGGCCTGGAGCAACGGCCGGCGGGCCGCAAGGGGGCGCTCGGCGGCCGCGGGGAAGCGCCGCCTGGCGGTGCTCTGTCACTGCCCCGGGTCCCGCCACTGTCCCCTCCTGTCCCGGGTCCCGCCACTGTCCCCTCCCGTCCCGGGTCCCACCACTGTCCCCACCTGTTCAGTCACTGCCCTCACGTGTCCCATATCCTGTCACTGCTCTGTTACTGCCCTTACTGTCCCATGTCCCATCACCTTCCCCCATCTGTTTGGCCACTGTCCCATCCTGCCCCATCCCCTGCCACCACCTCTGCCCGCAGCCCCTGGGCAAAGGGCTCTTCTCGTGGCCGAGCTCCATTTGTGTGTGAGCCGAGTGGGGAATGAACACCCCGTGAAGTGGGTTTGGGGGCTGGAGGGCACGGGTTGTTCACCCGCTGCTCACCCCACAGCCTGCTGGCTCCACCAAATGCTCATTCTAGCTGCATCACAAAATAAGCAGCCAGCAGTGCCTTTAGAATAAACTCCCTGTTTATCCTGGCCCATGGTAGAAGCCAGCAGCTGCCAAAGTTTAACACTACAGCGCACTCTGTAACCTGCCCTCTGGATTTGTTTTGCTTGGCACTAAGTCTGAGGGTGAGGAACTCCAGCAAGGACAACAGCATGCAATACACCCAGTGCAGAATAGAAAAATAAGCCATTTGCATCATCATGCATCATTTTATTTCGATTTTGCTTTATTTCAAAAACAATTAAGGGACACTATAAACAGCAGTAGGCACATCAGTGGAGTTTGCAGTTTGAGTCTCTCAAGACCAGATCTCTCATGCCAGGTGCCATACAGGCACAGTCAAACAATTCTCGTCTTCAGGATGAATTTCTTGTAAAGATTCAGGGCCCCAGTCTCACTCACTTAAGTCAGTATTAAAACTCAAGTAGATTAAAAGGAATTCAGATAAGGTAAAATGAGTGGGCTTCTAGACATGCCCTCCCTCCCCAGAAGAACACCGGAAAAGATGCATCAAGCAAGAAGGTATTTCCTTTCCCTTTTACTTGGGAAACCAAGGCAGGAGAAGACTAAATCTCTAGTCGAAAGCTCTTAATGCTGTCTGTGGCAATAGAAGGAAACTCTATTTCTCCTAGCTCAGTGTATTGTCCTAGCTCAGTACTCAAACAGTTCACTGCCCACCTCTGTCCTCACTTGACCCAGCACAACCAGAAGCATCCTGGGAAATATGGCTGGAATACAGTAGGAGGGGAGGGATCAAGCACAGGAGCCCGTATGAGCTTATGTGCTATTTGAGTCAGTTCTGGTTGCTGTAGTTTATGACTTCCTTAGTATATCAAACCACTTCCAGCTCAGACAAGCAGTCAAGATCATGCTGAAGAATTAAAAGCATTGAAAAAACAGAAGATTGATTCTTTAGGAACACAGCAAGTGTCTGATCAGTTCAAATCCTGCTTCAGACTGCAGTCAGGATTAGATGCTGTACTGAATTGTCCCCTCTGGGTACCACAAACTACAGGACTTTGACACGGTGTCCTCCAAAGGGAGGAGGGTCCACTGTCTTGTGATGTTAATCATTGTTGGAGGGGTTTACTGAAGAAGATGCCCAAGGGTCTACCCACTGGTCTAGCTCTCGGGTGGTGCTCCGGGCTTCAGCGGTCATTCTCCGAAATTTCTGCAGGTAGACAATGATGAAGATAACCAAGATACCCTGGAGAAAAAGGAGGATGAAGAGAGAGATCTGAGAGAGGAGAGCCAGGCTGCAGTACCAGTGCTGGCATGTGGAGATGATCTCATCTTCTGTCAGGTAGGCGATGATCCGGCCCTGCAGGTGCTCCGGGGAGCTGCACCTCACATCCCTGTACTGGCTCCGGTTCTGCTGCCACTGGAGCCAGGAGCGCAAGTAGAGGATGTCACAGGTGCATTCCCAAGGGTTGCCCTGCAGGTAGACCACCTGGAGGCTCCCCAGGTTGTCAAAGAGCCCATTGGGAATAGAGGTGAGCCTGTTGGAACCGAGGTGGATGATTTCAGCTGAAGGACGGAAAGCAATGGGCAGATTTTCTACAGTCAGGTTTTTCAATGAGCAGTCAGTAATGTTGGTGGTGCACTTGCATGGAGCAGGACATATGGGTGTCACAAGTGGGAGGAAGCCGAGAAGGGACAAGAGTATTCCACCGTTCATTTTCATCTACAAACACTTCCCTGGTGAGACTGGATGAGGCAGAGACCAAACACCACGCAATCCAGGACTGACACCACAGACAAGGTCGTTTGTTGTTTTGTTCTGAAGATGTTTCTAAAGTTGGGTGAATTTGGTGTCCTCTACCAGAGACGTGAGAGCTCTGAAAAGAACAGAGTTAAAAGAGAGCAAATTCTTGGTCTCTCACTATAGGAGAAGGAATTTTCATGGTCTTCCAACCCTGGATTTGAGAAATATGAACATATGGTTACTGGAAGGCTTAGCTGCAAGCCATCAAATACAACATTTTCACTAGTCCTTGGAAGTGTGTAAAAGCTGCTTGTGTCTTCAGCATTACTGGCAATACATTATCATGGTAGCCAAGAAAATTTCTGTCAAGGAATCAAAAACTAGAATATGAAATTTCTCATGCCTTATCATAGCTCTGGATTACATCTGTAAGCAAAGCTTCTTTCATGCCAACTGTAACGGGAGATTCAGAAACACATTTACTAAAAATAGCCTTTCCAGCCTTGAAAAAAAGTGATAAAACAGTCTTTGGCTGCAGAGAGGGCACTGATCTCTGAGGATGGAGGCCAATGGAATTTTTCATGTTGGACACTGCTCCAGCAGGTGAATAATCACCTGTGCTGGGAGACATGAGTCAATGAGCTTTTTTTATGTTACAGTCTCATGCCACTGCTGAACAGGAGCTGCTGTAACTTCTCCAAGAGAGCAACTACACATACCTGCAACAAGGCAGCATTTTTCTGTTTTTCGTATTGTACATTGTAATAGTCAATCAATTTAAAATTAAAAAAAAAAAAAAGAGTAGAAGGTGGCATTGTTGACTTACCAGAGCAGTTCAATCCTTGTTTTCTTGCTGGCTTTACAACACAAGAGAAAGGGCTTGAGGCAGTCCAGCCAGTGCAAGAGTGTGTGCATAGCTGTGTTCCCGGATAATCCCCTTGCAGCTGGCTGGCAAGATAAGGGTCAGGCTCATCCCAGGGACACCGCCCACATGAGGCCTTCCTGCAAGTCTGCTGCATGTCACCGGAAGCTGAGGCTTCATTAAGTCTTCCAAGAAATGGGAACTGACATTGCTCACAAGAACACATTTGGTGGGAGATATGCTGCCAGTACTGATAACTGTGATTCTGGGCCAACAGGTTTAGCCCAACAGAAATGTTACTCATCTCAATGGCATAATAACTCAAAATGCACTTCAGACTGGAAGGTGATGTTACTGGTTTGTACCATACTCCCTGAGCACTGTGACCTTTGGTTTGCCATCACATCAGGAAAGCTTGGCAGAGTGGTGACACCTAGCACTTTCTGGGTGCTGGCCCTCAGGTTTCCCTTCAAGCAGTGACACAAATCTACTACTTATTAGTGAAAGATCTGCTGATAGACATGGTCTTCCAGTCCATCCATCTTTCCAGAGAAAGATTCTTCAGACGCTTGCATCCTCTCACAATCATTATACAGGTAAAATATTACTCTTGGCATTTCATTGTCTACATCAAAATAAAACTAGTTGGGTTCACAGGAAGGCCAACAGAGTCGGAAAGACAGTGCTCTGAGGAATTGCTCTTCAGGCATCCAAGTGAGCCCACAGCCCAAGTAACAAGTGCAGTTACTGAGAAAGACTGACCACATGCTTTATTCAGAAGCTGCATTACACAAATACTTGAACAGGTAAGTCCAAGGGTCAAAACTACATTCAGGCAGACTCACGTCTTCTCATGGCCATCGCATCTTCACTGACATTTCTCTGCGGTCAGCCTGACCAGGCAAGCACTACACTTATTAGCCTAATGCCACCAGAATCACGTGGTGAAACTGTTGCCCCATTGAACTCAACTGTTACATTGTTCCATGGACGTTCTATCATGAATGCCCTGAATGTGCTCATATTAAGAGAATTGAGAGTGCAAAACATGCTAGAATGTGGCCCTAACCAAGGGAAATTCTTATATGCTCTAAATAAAACAATTAAACTTTAAACTTCTACAAAATTGGAGCAGATAATTCCAGTTGTTTCACTGTGGTGGCCAGGCAGAGTGGGAAAGAGCTCTTAGGCTAACAAACTAACCCAGCTTTTCCTGCAGGGCCTGCTTTCCACTTGGGAGCAGCTCGACTACCACAGGGTAAGTTCGTTCAGCAAACTTACCTCATCTGATGTGTTTGGTGCTATGTTTATTCACAGGCAGGTGTTCAGGCCAGGTGTGGTGTGGAGCTGATCTAGAGCCAGACCCACTGTGGCTCTGCATGGACTTGGCAATGCTCTCCTGGCTACTTACAAACTGGATTTCCTGGGACTGGATCTTGCCCAGCTGACCACTGATGATTTAGACACCACTCCTAGAGGAAACTTGAATACAGAAGAACCTTCAAGATCATCTTGCTAGCTTCTGTAATAAATAGGCCAGAAATCCCATGCAGGAAGCCTGCTTGAAACTTGCTCTGACTGAATTAGATAAAAGAAGAAACAGGGTCAGTTTTGTTCTCTCCTGCCTATAATGTATCACCAATGGTGCTGAAGGGGGCTGAAAATCAAACAGAAAAAGGTTGGATTTTTGAATGTATTTATTTCACTGATCAATTCAGGTAGTAAACATTAATAATAATAACAATAATCATTTAATAAAATGGATATGTTTAAAAGGTTTCATTTTCTTTGTTCACAATGACAAAATGTTCAAACAGAAATTTACAAAAAAATATAATAACCCAACAGATGGACAGGAAACATAGAGCCTAGGAATGGAGCAGGGGGTGAGGAAGGTGCATGGCAGAAGCAAGCCAGCATTAAAGCACAGCAGGGTTTGTGAGGAAGAGCAGGGAATGCCATTGCACAGCATGAGGAGTAGGAGGCCCCTCCTTTGAGGGGAGGCATGCAAGAAGGCAGCAAAGGACTGCACAGGCAGGACCAGCACAGCAGTGGCACACAAGGAGTTCATGCCATGGATCCATCCTGTCAGGCACAGGGGCCAAGATATACCAACAGCCCCAGCTGCAGCCTGGGATAGCTGTAGAGTGGGACACCATCCCTGCAGCCACTCACTCAGCAGGGCAAAGCTTGGCAGAGGCATGGGAATGTGCCAGGGGGTGCAGGGATCGCGTGTGAGACTGTGGAGGGTTGTGTGAAAGGGAAGGCAGTAAATTACTTTCCTATCCACACTTTTCACTGCCAGAGGCACATGGCCAAACTCCCTGCTTTCAGGAGTCTCTTCTCCACTTACTGTGAGAATTGATGCCACAGTACAACACACTCCTTAAACAAATAGATTCCACCTTCCAGTACAGAATCTGAATCCCTGATGTCCCCCAAAATAATTCTCTAATGATTTAGAGTCCACCAATCTTTCCAAGCAGTCCCTAAATCCCAGCACTCAGGGCAGGGAACCTCCTACATGGAGACATGATTTCAGTGGTACCACCACCCCTCTGCTATCTCCGCTGCCTCACTCCTGTGTGTTTTTCCTAAATGCAACTTGAACTATCTTTGCCAGCTGGTAGCCAAAGTCTTCAGCTCTCTGTAGAGGACAGGCTTGTGACCCTTGACTTTCTGTAGGAGGCACATGCACTGAGCTGATGGAGATTTCCCCACATGGAGGGATGGGCAGATCCAGCCTCAGCAGCCCTGCCTGCCTGTGACCAGTCTACCCTGTGCTTTCACCAGCACATGGCATCTCAGTGCATAGCCCAGCATGAAAGATGTCAGCTGCTCTATGTCCATGCTAAAGGGAAAAGGTCTCCTTTATTTTCTATGAATTAATCTGTTTGAAAGAGGAAAATGTCCAGGTGGACAGGGCTCATTTGCAACAGAACATCATCCTCACCAAGATTAGTGTCAGAAAAGGGGGGACAGGTACTTCAAGATGTTCCCTTTTATGTTAGCACAGATAAAGCCAAGAATTCATCTTTAATTCCATCTTTTTGGAAAACCTGGAGGAAGCTCCTGTTTCAGGTTACTCCACTGCTCAATTAAGCACATCATGCAAAGAAAGGTTATACTTCCTCTCAGGTGCCTTGGTCCTTCATGTTACTGAAGTCAAGCTGAATCCTTCTGCTCTCCTAGGATGGCACTGCCACTTATGAGCCCAAAATAGGAGAACATGAAAAAAAAACCCCGAACATTGTTGAACACTGCTATTTCCCAGCTTGCACAGTTCTGTCAAAGGGCTTCCATCCTTACTTTGTCCTTCCACATGGTGCCAGGGTCTCTCCCCTGCCCCTACAGCCCATGCTCTGGCTGAGCAGAGGCTCTGTACAGTGAATAACTGGAACCAGCCAACCTACTCACCATCTGGATAAACCCTGACTGGGACTCTAAAGCACCAGGGAGGAATCAGACAAATGCAGTGCCCAGTAGCAGAATCTAGGGCCTGCCTATTTCTGGCCAACACTGTGCTTCCTACCCAGGGAGATCTACTGGGGAGAGCCAGAGATGGAGGAGCAGATACAAAAAGGGAAAGGGGACGGAGGAGTCAGCCAAGGAGCAGAAGGGCCCAGCCCATGGCTGCATTCCCTGGAGTCAGAGGGAAGAGCCAAGTGTCTCTCCCTCCAACAGCCCTGACTCCTGTGAGTGTGGCAGTGCTGCTGGTGAGCCCTGCCCTGCCAGGCACATCACACTCCAGGGCTCTGCTCTGGCTGGACTCAAGTTAAAAATACTGCAGGAAGCAAGAACAGGACAAGAGCTGCTGCCCAAAGAGTGCTTTTATCTCTGCCCAGCAGACCCACCAGCCTTCCCAGCACTAGGGCAGGAAGAGCCAAGGAATAAGGAGGGGGAGAAGGGTCGAGTGCCTGGGGGAAGGGCAGGGGAGCAAGAGCCAAGCCTGCTGGGCTTGCTCAGCCCCACTCAATGGCAGTCCTGCACCTGCCAGGCTGACACAACACCTGCCCACACAGACTGCCTGCAGATTTCTGATACAAGCCTACAAAAACTGCCCCTTCCCTCAGGAGAAACTCAGAGCCAGCAATGTGCTTGTGGGACTGCAAAGCCTGGGGATAGGGGACAGGTCTGCATTTGGGGTTGAATTTCAGCCCTAGGGTTTCTACCCCCTTCAAAGCAGTCTTGGCCAAGTGCTCTGGATGCCACAGGGCTTTTCAGAGCAGACACTGAAGACACACTGCAGCTGAGGAGAGCTAAACAAAACACCCTCACCCTGCTACTGCAGGGCCTTAGGGTTCCTCTACCAATGCCTCCAGCCTGCTGTGGGAGGAAACCATGGCAGGAAAGGTGCTCATTCTCATCACCTCCTTGCAGGCAATAGTCAACAACACAGCCTCTCTGCCAGAAAGATGTAACCGAGAACAGTTTTCTTCTAACCAGCCTCAAGGCACTCAGTCTCTTGTTGCTCAGTGCAAACATCCTGGAGTTTTCTTGATAAGAAGAACAAACCCAACCAACTAAACAAAAAACCTATAAAAACCTGGACAGGATACCAGGCAATCATCAGGACTCCTGAGCAGGTCAGTGCACAGAGAAACTCCCAGCCCCAGTTCTCTGGGCCAGCACTGTCCCAAGGCTGAGAAGCCCAAGCAGCACAGGTCAAACTCACAGAAGGGTATGGCTGCCTTTACAATGCTTGTGCTGGCCCCAGACAAGGGGAACAGGGACAGGGGCACAGCACCTCAGTTGGGAGTAAACACTTACGTGCATTGACACAGATACTCTAAGTTTGTACACCAGAGAAACCAGGACTTTAAATACCAGAGCATTCCCAAACTAGAGATTAGTACATAGGAAAGAGGGATCTCTTTCTTTTCTTATTTTTTTTAGAGACATCCCAGGCTAGTTTCTTTAAAAAATTAAAAAAAAAAAAAGAGGAAAAAAAAAAGAAATTAAAGAATATTATTAAAAAAGAAATACACATCAGTAAACTGTTAAGTGAACAGCCTCCTCCACAATCCAGCTGGTCAAAAAGCCAGCACTGCTGCTAATAAATTAGAGGGTGCGGGTGCAGCTCTTGCCCACAAGTCTCTATACAATAGGAAACCTTTTCTAAACGTTCACAGCTCTTGCCAGGTCTCAGATGGTCACTGGGGGATCCCCTCTGCCCTCCAGGTACCTGCCTCTCACTGATCCTGCATCTGCTGCTGCATCTTCTGCAGCATCTCTTGCATCCGCCGTAACTGCAGGAGACACAGAAGAGAGAGTCAGAAAGGGACCGGTGGATCCACACTGTGTCAGCCCCTTGGAGCAGACAAGGGGATTCCTCAGAGAGTATTAACTCCTGCATGAGCACAGAGGCACCTGTGTCTGGGTGGAATGGAGTTACGTT